AACACATTAACAACTTGGCCAACTGGCCGACCTGCTCTGATACCACTAATGTAACAGCCCCTTTTATACCCCCAAATAAACAATAAATCATATAAGCACATATTAAAATTTCATCAGGGTATAACTGAAATCATGGTATAAAAGGAGCATGTCATACAATATGTGAAATAAAACATACCACACCTGCTCAATAGAGATATGCAACAGTGGGGTAGCTTCAACAGAGGAACTTAGTCCTTACACCCACATCTCAATATTTAGAATTAAAAGCGGAAAATCTAAACATTGAATCACTTTAAACATGCTAATCATATAAATACATTTCATTCAGTTTGGTTCACCACATCATTCATGTTTTCATAGACCTTAGTCATCAGATACATATACAAATGTATCTCAAAAGAATGCTATACAATCCTAACTACCCGGTGCTACATATCAGAGCTTAACCGACCAAAAGAATGAAGCTATACTTCACAAAAGACTTCCATCAAAGCTAATCTGCAATGCCTCATAGAGCATTATAAAACAGCAGAAGAGTGAGAAATATTATCATAATAATCAATGCATATAATTATATATATATATATATATATATATATATATATATATATATATATATATATATATATATATATATATATATATATATATATATATATATATATATATATATATATATATATATATATATATATATATATATATATATATATATATATATACAAGCATATAATACACATATTCCGCATTACTCACCACAATTCATTATCATCATCATATACATCACAACATATGTATATATAAACAAATATGGAATGATCACCAAGCATATTTATCATACTCACATCCATAATTCTCATCAATTCACCTAACATACACATATGCATACATTCACACAACATTTATCTCTATGTCATGTGACTCAATGCAACTCATGCCATGTGGTACCAACACTTGTTATCATTTTTCGGTTTTTACATTTAAACCGAGTCCGTCCTCTAGACCGATAACAACAAAAGCCCGTCCTATAAGCTTTCAAACCCACTCTTCTAGGCTTGGGACAAGTCACTAGTCTCCACGAAACTAGCACGCATTACCTCTTGACTAAATGATGCATATGCAATCAACAACCAAATGCACTTAAGATCGTTCTCGCATCTTAATCTCATGCATTCTCAATAATTCATCACATAAGAATTATAACATGATTGCACACACAACATATTTCACATAATCAAAGTATTCATACTTTAAATCATCATCACCATATGTATCAAGCAATGCACACATATTCGCTAATATGTTCTCATGCATTCTTCACATACAATTACAAGCAATGCACACATATTCACAATATGTTCTCATGCATTATTAATAACATCGTGCCAACGGCAACGAACTCAATCACAATCATCATACACTTTTAATCAATTTAAACAATGTATATATTTGTCAAAAGACCACATTTCATAATCGATTCCACAATCTAGGATTCACGTCATACGGCTACCCACAACATATCACACCATAGTACACAAACTATTCATTCCGATAAGGATTGAACACAATTGAACCAAACAATCAACATCGGATGGAATCACAAAGAAAATGAAATGTTGTCATGCTCGCTGGCTTGCTCGCTGGCTTGCTCGCCTAGCGAGTACCTAGCGAATGCTCGCTACCTGTTCGCCTAGCGAACAAGCTCGCGAATGCAAACAGAAGCTACTGACTTCGTTCGCTACCTACTCGTTGCTAGCTCGCTACAGCGAACCCCTCGCGACCTCACTCGCTACCAGCGAATAGAGTCATTTCCATTCTGCCCAAGTTTGGGACCGTTCGCTACTAGCTCGCTACAGCGAACACTCGCGACCTGCTCGCCTAGCGAAGGTGCTAGCGAGTGTCTGCGATGTTCAAATCCCCAACTGTCCAAAATTCATCAGAAGCTCCCAAATCACCCGATTTTCACCAAACCAACTCCAATAGTCTTAGTCTAACATCCTTCGACTAAACTACACAACTTATTCTCAATTTTAACCGTTAAAACATCGACTCTACCGATTAAACTCATTTCTGCCCTAAAATGGAAAATGAGTAAAAATTCTCCAACAATCTCATCCCAACCATCAAACACATACATAATCATAAATATTGATAGAATAACAACATTTCACACCCTTACCTTGATTAAATCGAAAGCTAGGAGTTGTTCTTGATGATTCCAAGCTTTTCCCCTTTCTTCCTTCTCTATTCTCCTCTTCTCCTTTCTTTCTTTCCTCTTTCTCTTAGTCTCTATCTTTTCCTTTGCTTTCCACTTTTCCTTATATTCTTTCCATTCTATTTCCTTCCATTATATTTCTCCCCTCAAATATCTACCAATAATTCCAATAATTAAAATCATCCAAATAAATCAATTAATTAATATAAATAATTAATTATTGAAAATTGGGTTGTTACAATACACATTACCATAAGCGCCAATTTTCATTTCTAGTTTTCCACAGTTTGTCTGACGTAGTGTGCAGGCAACCGTTGGACAATGAACAAAGGTCTTGATGGAATGAGGGTCGTACTTCTGTGTGGTGTCCAAGGATAATAGCATACTTTTGTTTAGGCGATTAGCGTGCCCTTGCTATGGGTTAAAAAATTTAGTTCTAGCGTATGGTTACTCTTGATGAAGTGATATGTTGGTTCGAAGAAAAATCTAGATGTATGACTTACACTCACATATTTTTTTGTCTTTGGATAGTAAAAAGGATAGAGTGAATAATGTGTCATTACCGACCCTAAAATTATCCTTTGAAGTTGAATCAAACATATAAAATTTTACTCAAACTTTCAAATTTTCATTTGAACCTTTGAGTACCAACTTTAATTTTTTGTAGTCATCTCTCCAATCAAAAAAAAATCATCACCATCATACCGAAAGCCTCATCGCCCTCAACTTATCATATATTTTATATTCCATTACAAAAAAGTTTAATTAAATACTAGTGATTTTTTAATGTTAATGTCATCGTTCATATATAAATTATGTGGTTTGTATCTTACAAATAAAATTCGTGACATTGTAAAATACACCATTTTGAAAAGTTGTTCTATTATCTATTTTTCTTCTATATTTTATGTTTTAGTTCAAGTCTAATTTCTAATTATACGACTTTTGAGTAGTTTTAGTCTTTGGTAAATATTTGTCTCTAATTTGTCCTTTTCACTTTCACTTAAGAGACGAGAATGCGCAATAGTGAGTCTAATAAGCTATTAGTACTCCTAAATTATTGAAAGTATGGAAATTTTCTTCTAAATCAAATGATAGTGAGCTACCAAACACATGATTAGCAGTAACAAAACATACCTATTGCCTATTAATCTACATTCTCAAATAATTGGTCTATCTTCCAGCTAATGTAGTACTCAATCCAAAGCATATAAAACCCATAAAATAGACTATGGTCATTGAGTAAGTGGGTATATTTTTGACCTTTTCCTCAAGTTTTTTCTCCCACGCTTGAGACTTTTCTTCTTGGACTATCGCCCAAACAGTTTAATTTTTTTGGTTCACGTTATTTTCAACTGTCTCAATTTGAAAACTTGAAAAATACCCTCCATTCACTTTGAACTTGTGAATGGAATAATGTACTTACAATAGCTGTCTACACATTAAAAGCAGTCATAAATTCTAAGGTAAGAGTAATGAGGGTAGATATACCAACATAAATGAAGATAACTTTTTCTTGTGTATTTTATTTCAAATAAAATCTTTTTATTCTAATAGTAGTACTATTACATTTCGAAAAGGAGGAGGATCAAAGGGGACCAGAGCTGAAAACTTCAAAAGTTTGAAAATCAAAACAGAATTGATTTTGATCTGGTGATTGATTTCAAATCAAGCAACTTTCTTTAATATACCATGTGCTACTTATGGCAAGTTTTCAATCCATTTAGCTACATCTAACAACTAAAAATATTGCTATTAGCTTAGGCTCTTCCCAAACACTACATTTTCAAACGGTGCTAGTATGATTTATTCTCCATCAATGACAGCTAACATGTACTAGTAAATTGCTAATCAAATAAATTAATATTTATTTATTTTATTACTAGAACTAAAATAGGAAATGACTTAATGATTTTCATGCGCTAGTGAAGCCAATTATCAATAATAATTATATATTACATTGGTTAACAACCTTAAGTGAGATAGCGTCTCACCTATTCATTGTAATATAACGTTAATTGATAGCAATAATAAATTGTTTTAAGTGGAGCAAGTCAATAGGTCATAAATTGAGAATTCCATTTTTGAATGCTCCATAATTACAATATACGCAAGTGCAGTAAACTGGTTGGCTAGCAATGAAAATATGACATATGGGCTAATAGGTTATTGTTGGCTTTTCAAGGGTTTAAAGAAGAAAAATCATCTAATGCACCTTCTTTTTGTTGAAATGTATTTGCCCTAATAGAGAGTAATAGTAGGTGGGTATGAGATTCTGATTTGATTCATAGAAAATAAAATAGGAAATAAGGTTTGGTAAAGGGAGGAAAAACGTTCCAATTTGACCCCCTTTTTAAGAATTTTGATCAAGGTTCATTTGTCCTCTTTGAGTTTGTGGATTCCATTCTATTTTACCACTTTTTATTTTTTTTATAATAACTTTATTATTATTAGTTTCCTTTTTCTTAAAGTATAATTTTTTCCTTTGTTTTGTTTCATAAAAACCTCACCATAAAGCACAAACAAACAATTTCTCTCATTCTCCTCTTCTATTCCTTTTTTTTTTCCAATAGGTGTTGAAGTGCTGAGTACAAGTCAAGTCTATTTCACCTCTTCAGGACTATCATAATTCTGGGTACTACCCACCCCCACATAATATTTTCAGTGTCTTCAGTTCTAACTGAAAGTTTTACTATCCTAGTGATATTCATGGATCTGACTTTCCACTAACCTGTTTGAGATTCCTAGAGAAGAAAGAATCATATATTACTTACAGAGAAAAATGTCATCATCTGAAAAACCTAGCTCCAAAGGACAGGCATGGTTCTGCACAACTGGATTACCAAGTGACATTGTGGTTGAAGTGGATGACATGACCTTTCATCTTCACAAGGTAAGTCTAACAATATACAGAACTATTCATTTTCATTTTATGCAATTGAAAACACAGACACGGAAACTTGGGTAATTTCTAATTATAGTGGTTACAAAGTGTCTCTGAAATTTGTTTTCAATGCTTATTTCAGTTTCCTCTTATGTCAAAGAGTAGAAAGCTTCATGACCTGATAACCCAGCAAGAAGCAGAGGCAATAACGCATTCTGCAGTCCCACAGGAAGAAGCAGATGAAGATGAAATCGTGGAAGAACAGTGTCATGTTACGTTTACTGATTTCCCTGGCGGCTCTGAGGCGTTTGAGATGGCGGCTAAATTCTGTTACGGTGTTAAAATGGAACTGTCACCGTCCAATGTAGCTTCACTCCGTTGCGCCGGTGAGTTTCTTGATATGACAGAAGATTACTCCGAGGATAATCTCATCTCCAAAACAGAGAAGTACATCTCGCAGCATGTGCTTAAGAGCCTTGGGAACTCAATCAAAACCCTAAAATCCTGCGAGCGGTTGTTTCCTATGTCGGACGATTTGGGAATCACGGAGAGGTGCATCGATTCCGTTATCTCCAGAGCTTCGTCGGCGGACCCTGCGTTGTTTGGTTGGCCTGTGAGTGAGGCCATTGCATCTGCTTCTAAACAGATTCTTTGGAACGGAATTGATGCTGCCGGGAGAAGAAACGGTGCCGGAGAGTCTTGGTTTGAAGATCTGGCACTTCTGCGTTTGCCTCTGTTCAAACGATTGATTCTCGCCATGAGAGATGCAGAGCTTAACCCTGAGATTATCGAAACGTGTGTAATGTATTACGCCAAGAAGTACATTCCCGGTGTTTCGAGATCGAGCCGAAAGCCGTTATCATCATCCTCGTCAGTTTTATCAGAGACGGAGCAGAAAGAGATTCTGGAAACAGTTGTTTCGAATCTTCCACATGAGAAGAATTTGAACTCGTCCACGGCGACGAGGTTTCTATTCGGATTGCTGCGAACGGCGAACATACTGAACGCTTCCGAAGCATGTAGAAACTCTTTAGAGAAGAAGATAGGGTTACAGCTTGAAGAAGCCACACTCGATGATCTTCTCGTACCGAGTTATTCGTATCTGAACGAAACGCTTTACGATGTTGACTGCGTAGAGAGGATTTTATCTCATTTTCTGAATGGCTTCGAAGCAAGAAACGTCGCTGTTGAAACAGTCGCAGAGGTAATCGAAGGAGGCGAAACCGCCGCGAGAACACCGGCGATGATGCTCGTCGGGAAACTCATAGACGGATATCTCTCTGAAATAGCTTCAGACGCAAATCTCAAGCCGGAGAGATTCTACAAGTTTGCAATCTCTCTTCCAGATCAGGCAAGACTCTTCGACGACGGTCTCTACCGTGCCGTTGATGTGTATCTCAAGGTATCATTCAATTTCCGGTGACGAATTTTCATTTTACATTTTGAGAAACCGAATTTGCAGATTCAGTGTGTTAATGTTAATTGCAACATTGTTTATTTACAGGCACATCCATGGCTTTCGGAATCGGATAGGGAGAAGATTTGCGGATTACTTGACTGTCAAAAGCTAACGCTAGAAGCATGCACACACGCGGCGCAAAACGAGAGACTTCCATTACGCGCGGTGGTTCAAGTTCTTTTCTTCGAGCAGTTACAGCTTCGTCACGCCATCGCCGAGACGCTGATAGCGGCGGAGACAGGTACAGAGATAGGGCGTCACTCAGCTGCGCTGGAACGCGAAGAGGAAGACGGAGGAGAACCATTACGGTTAGGGTTTGAATCAGAGCACGTGCAGGAAGAGAACAGCACGTGGCGTGTAACGGTGAGGGAGAATCAGGTGTTGCGCTTCGATATGGATAGCATGAGAACGCGGGTGCATCAGCTGGAACGTGAGTGTTCCTCGATGAAGAAAGTGATTGAGAAGATTGAAAAGCCTGCTACACACGGCGGTGGATGGAGGACGTCGCTGGGGAAGAAACTCGGTTGCAAGTTTAAAACTCAGGTTTGTGACTCGCATCAATCAGCGGTTGTTGACACGCGCAAGGGACGCCAACGCAACTCGCAGCAGCAGCAGCATTCTCATCATGAATAAGCACCACGCTCAATTTCTCGCGTGAGGATCATTGTAGTTGGTAGAGTAAAGCTGATACGGGTCCCACTTGTAATTGTTCATTTTTCTCACTTCTTTTTAATTTTCTATATAAAATTTTAATTAATCACCATCATAATTTTAATTCGGATATGGTTATTACTACTAGTAGTGACGTTAAATCTAAAAGTAAAAACACGATTATGATTTGTAAGGGAGTGTTTGACTCCTATGTGGCAATTATTGGGACGACTAGGTTTGAATTGTCGGGGTGACCCAGCTTTTAAAGTGATGGTGATGTGATGAGAAACACAAGACATGAAATTATAGAAAATAAATTATAGTGGGTGGCATGGTGGAGACAGATAATAGGTAATGGAAGTTCTAGATACTTTTTCTTCGAAGTTTATGTGATTTTTGTTTGTTTGTTATAAAACTGAATCACACTCATTATTGCTTCTGATAAAAGATGGGTTACGTCAAAGTGCTTTTTCTAAACTGAAAGCACTATTAGTGATCATGAACCGCATAAACAGCAACAAAGGTTTCTACTACACTTTGAGTTTGATGCCGGAATAGTTGTTGCATTGCTTCCGTATAGCCTTTCTGTGATTAGGTTTTAGGGAGCAGGGGGAGTGTTATGATTCAATTAAATGGAATAAAGGATCGCTGTGTTATTAATCAAATTCAAGCAATAACTCTCCTACGTATGAACTTAGGAGCACTAGTGATCTACATTTTCAACGAAGTAACAGAAAAGAAGCTTCTCACAAGAATAACCTCATTTAGTTATATAATCTCCCATCCTAATGTTGGCAATTTTGATCCATTGGTCATTTTCTTTCATAATAGATGTATAATGCTCTAACTGAATTGATTTCCTCACATTTGCTTGAGTACTTGCTGTCATTGAGGTGTGGAGTCCTTACATTACTTCATCCATTAACAACAACCTTCTCTTCAAGGTTGAACTTGAGATAGTCCAAAATGCAAATTCTCTGCTCTTTAAAGCTACACCAAATTTGACATGGATCTAAAGCATGAATTGAGAGCCTTGAATGATGGTGTGACACTCCAAAGCCACGTTTGGTGGCAGCACAAGACCGAGCTCTATACTAAGAAGAGAGAGTGGAATGTAAGGAAGTGCGCTTGTACCATAGAACAACTTTAATTGAGACATGAAAAACATGGTGAACTTTCTTCTCGGGGGAAGTTGAACCTTGAAAGTCATGGCCTCATTGTATATAACAATATGAAAACCTAAACCCAACTTTTGATTTTAATGAAGTGCAATAGAGGTTTGTCTATACGTGTAAAGCTTTACGAAGACCTGCCTATTTGAAATTTCAAAGGATGGCGACCTATATTTGCATAAAACTTTATATGTTGTTAAGCCCTCTGTAAGTTACCTTGGAGCTGGTGGAGAAGGTCATTTTGTTAACTCAATTGGACTTGGTGGTGCTACTCGTAGAGCGTAGAAGCCGTGGAGAATTCCGAACATACAAGCCCCAAAAGGGAGTCATTGATGCATTGTTATGGTGGTAGTTATACAAATGCTTTTGCACATGGAAGAACTTTGGATCAAGAAGAAGGTTTGCAAAATAGTAAGTGCTTATGATACATTTCCAAACACTTGTTTAAAGTTTCACATTAATCATTTGTTTGAGAAGATGGTACACGAAACTTCATATTCATGGAAGAACTTCATATTCGTTTGAGAGGATTGTTTAAAGTTTGAAAAAATTAGTCCAAAACTAACTAGTGAAAACCTTGTTACAGTCTAAGACAACGAAAGATAGCATTTCATGGAGTTTGATGACATCACTCATAAAAACTTTTGTTAATTTATTGTCATCACAATCGATTTTCAACAGGAAAAATTAAGCATATTTTGATAGATGATCCACTACCACCATTATAAGAGTAAAACCATTAGAATTCAAAAGGTCAGTTACAAAATCCATGGAAATATCCTCTTATACTTACGGAGGAATTGATAACGAGTTTAGCAACCCTGTTAGTAAAGAAGTAGCCATCTTGGTTTGTTGAAAAATAGTGCATTGTTGGATGAAACTGTGGATGTCATTGTGCATGTTAGGCCAATACATTTTAGTAGATTTGCGGGAAATAGTGTGAGTAACCCCAAAGTGGCCTTTCACTGAAGAAGTATAATATTCATTCCAAAAGAGTATTTTAGAATGTACAATCAAGGCACATTATGCGGTTTCAGAGCAGATCTCAGGGTGTGATAGGCCTAGAAGTCCCCAACTCATAAGAGATAAATAACAAAAAGAAAAAAAAAACAAAGTAGAACCTGCACGTCACACCTTTAACACTATAACTGAAGGATTTTCTAGAGGAGGTGAGTCGAGCTCTTTGTGCAAAATATATACTCTTCAGGTAATGTACGTCATTAATTCACACTTAAAACCTTTGTCATCTTCTGTTCCCGAGGTTACTTTCTCACACGAAGACATTTCCGAAATCCTACCCTATGAGGATGACCCTCTAGTCATCAGTGTACAAATGTGTAACTGAAACATAAAACGAGTCTTCATTGACCCTCACAATTTTCCGAATGTCCTCTAGTGGGACATCTTTGAATGGTTGCAACTAGATCCTAAGCATTTTCATCCCTTTAAAGGCTCCATAGTAGGTTTCTCTAACGAACACATACTAGTCCGAGGATATATCTCCATCGGCAGAACTTTCAGATAAAGTAAAGACCATCATACTTAAATATATGTTATGACAAACTCCTCATCATTGTACAACATGATTATAAGACTTTGTGCATTCAATGTCTTAGAGACACTCATACCCATGTTCTACATCACCATGAAATATCTCCTAGATAATGGACAACTAAAGGTCGTGAAATGAGATTGGAGAGCGGCCCGAACATCCTATTAAGATAACCTCAGAATAAAGAGGACGAAAATTTCTAATGACCCACCACCTTAGTGTTGGCTGGGATTTCAACACTCATTAATGTGGGAAGTAAGTTATGAAGTTTCAAAGTCATATTCTTAAGAGGAATATGATGAATTTGACAACAAACAATGACAAGGGTGTGAAGGTTCCATGGGTTTAGGATTGACTGTAATTTTGCTAAAACATGGCTCACATCAGGATGTTGTGTGTGATGTTGTAACATGCTGACCATGTTACCTTGTGAGCAGATGTTGCAACATGTTGTACCAGAACTTCAATTCTGACTATTTTAAATCTTGACAAGATTTTATTTGATTATGTGATAATTCTTTTGGATATATCTCAGTATTTTACGCAGGTCAAGAAGATTTTATCTAGAACAAGTTTTCATATCTCCAACTGTACACAAGTTGCTAAATTGGTTGTTGATACAATTTAGGAAACTAGATGATTTGTTCCAAGATTCAAGGAGATTTTTTCTGCATAGTTGATGTGACTTTTAGCGTGTCGATCAAACTAGAATTGGGTGAAGATTTCAAAGCCCATGGACTGCTGAGGAGTATTTAAAGAAGATCTAAACCTATTGTATTAATGGTTTTTTCACTTTTGTAAAAACTATGAGAAGTTTTAGAAACTTAGATTTTGAGAGTCTCTTGTGTGTGTGTGACTTTGTAAGTCAACCTCTTGTTTGATACATTGTGGTAGACATATTGCTTGTGTATGTTGTTCTCACTCTACAACTTTTAAGCAATGGGGTTGAGTATTGTTCTTGGGTGAAGCTTTTAAGCAAACCAAGTATTGTTTTAGAAGTGTGGTCTTCTATTGTTCATTATTGTTGAGGTTATCACTAGTGAGTGATTGATGGAAGTGAGAGGGGTCTCATATTTAGGAGTTCCTAGATAGAAGTTGTATTGGGTAGGGATTAAGTGGAAAGTTGTAAACTGAGATTGTTTAGCTTTGAATTAATCTTACTAATAGTGGATTTCCTTCCTGACTTGGATGCCCCCAGATGTAGGTGAGTTGCACCAAATTAGATTAACAATTAACCGTGTTTTTATCATTATGCAATTTACAATTTCTGCATAATTAAAGTTTCATAATATTGTTCTGTCAAACTTAAGATGTCATAACATCTGTCTTGACATTTTACTTTGGTGTTGGGGCATCAGAATTATCATCATGTGTTGCATGTACTAGAAAATTTCAATTGACATCAGAGCTGACACCCTAGTCTATTTTTGGGTGAGCTTCAGGGAGTTTTTTTCCTGGTTCTTTATGATCTTGGATCTTTGCTTTCAAAGAATATGTTTGGATGGTTCATTGTTCATATCCTAATTTTGGTCAGGCCAGCAGGTTTCAGAGGTCTCTTCTCTACAAATATGTATGAATGTGAATATTGTTGTGCATGAAGATCAAGTCATCTTCAACAGGTGAATCTCTCAGGTCACTGATTTGTTGTTCAGTGTGTGAGAATGTCAGATGTGATTTGGAGAACATGAACAGTGAATGTGTCTCATACTCTGTGAGAGTGAGTGTCTCAGGCTTTAATGAAGAGGCAGTTCAATGTCAAATATCTAAGACACTCATCCTGACATCTACGAGTTTTGTTTTAGTTCTTAAGGTTAAGCTGGACTTGGTGTAAAGGTAGTGGCAAGAACTTGCTCTGAAGATTTATCTATAGGGGTCAACTCAGCCTATAGCCAATAGTCCAATGGCTAGAAATCTAGGAAGATGTAGATTATCTTCTCTCTCACACCAATTGAAGGTATACTTGAGCAATATAGATATTCTGGATGTTGATGTTCTAGACTCATGACTGGAGTAAAATGGGTTATGGTGGACGCTAGGTGTCTTCTTCCAACCTTTTGTGCCAAAAGAGTGAATCCAAAAGGGTGTGTAAATAGATGTCTTCTTTTCTGATGAAGGTTTTTGAAGTGATTGAAGTGCTGATGAGGAAGTTGTGAGCCAGTTTCTGCCTATGCTTGTTCCAAGGAATTGTTGCTCTTTCTAAATGAACAAGGAAGCTGAAGTAGGAATGTCTCTAAATGTTGCATCTTTAGAATTTAGTG